AATGTGGGTAAAAGAGCGTTAACCTCATAGAATTATGAAATCTACTGCTCATTGAGGGCTGGCCAAGTGCCAGGTGCTAGCTAAATAATTTCTAGTCATTGTCTTATTTAATCTTTCCAACTCTGTGAAGTCACTGTTGGAAGACGTAATGAGATGATACAGGTAGAATGATCTGTAGGGTGCCAGCACATACTAACATGAATTATTATTACTATCATTATCCCTCACTTTGTGGAGTAGCCCCAGCAAACAGAACAATTTGACCACCTGTCAAATGTCTTATCTCAAGCTAAGGAGAGAGGCGCCACCAGCTTCCTCATCTGAGTCTAAGTGGGAAAGCTGAGGATGGCCACACTCCAGAAAATACTTCTAGCTGTATGTACATTAGGGGCCATTTCCCAGTTATACCAGAAACTCCCATGTGAGAATCTTCTTTCACATCCTATTCTCCTCTTGGTTTCTTGTCTGATTTTCTGTTTTCTCTGTATTGTTCAACGGAGGCAAGAAAGAAGTTGAAATTCACCTCTAAACCAGAGTGCCACATTCCTTCATTCATTCACTCACTGATTCATTCGACAAACATTCACTGAGGGTTATTCTGTAACAGGGTATGTGCTAAGTGTTGGGGACACAAAGGTGAATACCACACTGCCCCTGCCCTGGAAAGTTCCCAATTCTTGCTGACCCCCCGGAAGGCCCAGAGAAATAGCTCCAAACAGTGAGATCACTGTTTGGAGCTATTTCTCTTCAAGACTTTCACTAGGTGAGTACCTCTGACCTTTTTAGGAGGCAAGTGGAATAGTGAGAGAGACTTGACAGCCAGTCAGGATTATTTGCTGCATTTTACAAATGGGAAATCTGAGTTCTGGAGAGGAGAGGAAAAGGCAAGCAAAGGGAAGGGAACACAGTTCTGTCCCATTTCATTCTCACCCATGTCCTGTGAGGGGAGTGTTTTTACTACTATTTTACATATACAAACACTGACACTTGGGTTTAAAGAGCTGTGGGAAAGTCACCCAATCCACAGGCCACAGAGCTGGCCTTTAAACACGGGTGTGACCCTACAGTGGGGTTCTCAACCTGCTGACCCAGCAACTACACAATAGGTCATCAGTGGCTCTGGGGACCTTTTGCTTACCAGTCCTCTGCCTGGTCTTCTAGGCCAGTGGGTTCTCAAACTTGAGCCAGCAGCAGAATCACCTGGAGAGCCTGTTAAAACACGGACCCAAGGGCCCCACCTCCAGAGTGTCTGACTCCTTAGGTTTAGGGTAGGGCTGAGAATTTGCATTTCCAGGTTCCCAGATGATGATGGTGACCCAGGGATTACTCTTTGAGAATACTGTTCTGGGTGAACCAATAATTCTCTCTTAAAAAATAATGGCTCTCTCTCTTCCCCTCCCCTATTTCAAAAGTAACAGGTTTGTAAAATTCAAGTATATAATAAAATGTGGAACCTACAGAAAAATAGGAAGCAGAGAATTCATCTGTTCTGAGAAAACTATTCCCAGATCACCTATCTCCTTGTCTTACTTCACTGCCTAGGCACAGAAGCAGGGCAGTATATTGACCTGGCCCCTGTTTAAGGCCTACTTAAGACCTCAGCTCTTTTGTGAGATCTTGGGTGAGCCCATGTCAAGCCTCTTGTGCTAAATCGCTCTTACAAACCCGACATCCCTCTTTTAGTTGTTGGGAGGGACAAAGGAGGATGCACTTATCAAGCATTTGGCCCAACATCTGATGTAGTCAGCACTCAATAAATGTTAACAAGTTTTGTTTTAACCCAACAGAAAGCTCCGAGGATCCAAACAGTGTTCACCCTGCAGGGCTCTGCTGCCGTGTTGGGCCGGCCACTCACTGCTGACTGCCACCGCAGAGCCCGTGGAGCGGAGCCTCCCTCGCACCCAGGCCGCCGTTATGGTGTCTCCCGGCGGGGTCCCCTGTTTTACAGCCCGAGCTTAATGAGGGCTTTTAACTTTTCATTCACCAGCAGCGTAACTCCGACTTTTAATAACACACCTTGTGCACGACAAAAATTTGCTCCTGGCAATCATGGTTTCGACCACAAAACCGCAGCGGGGCGTTCCTGGTTAACTCTTTCAGCGCTCCAGGCAGTCTGGAGCCGGGCTGCGGAGATCAGATGGAAGGCGCGGCGCTTGGCGGCGGGGACGCGTTCTCGTCCCCTCGCCACCTTCCTCCCTCACCCCAAACCTCAGCCGCCTCTCTCCAGGTATTTGGGGGTGGGAAAAGATTCCCAACAGCAAAGGGCTGGGGACCAAGGGAGGCAGCGCGGAGGGTTCCATTCTTCCATCGGATGGACCTACTATGTGCAAGTCCATGAATGTGGCGAACCAGGGAGGGATGCTGCAGGTGCGCCAGGCACCCAGCAGGCCCTCGGGGGCCTTTAGAACACTCAAAGCTATCGGAGGTGCTCCTGCTCTCGAGGGTCCCACCCCACGCGTACTACGCCCCAGCTTGCGCCACCAAGTCACCCTCCAGGAAGGTCCAGGGCGCGCAGTGCGCAGGCGCAGCAGGCATCGCGCGGGTGCCAGGCTGTTTTCCCGCGAGACTACAGTAGGCTGCAGTCCCAGGATTCCTTGCGGCTGGCCCCTGACGTGAGGCATGGCGAGAGGTTACTCCACGGCTGGCCGAGGCCTGGGGCTGGCAGAGGCGCTCGGCGCTGGGCCCGACCACATAAAAGGCCCAGGCGCTCGCCACCCACCAGCTGCCTTGAGCTGGTTTCTAACTACGCCGCAGCCTGGCCTCCATGCGCCTTAACACCCGCTTCCAAGTGCCGCTTCCCACCTGAGGCCTAGTAATCGCGCTGGCGTTTATGGAGCTCAGTGCCTTCCCTGCCAGGTAGGTGTAGCACCCCGTTTCACGAATGAGGAAACTGAGGACCAACACAGGGAGAACAACCCAGAACTGAGTCAGATGCAAGACTGCCTCTAGTTGGTCATTCTATCAGTGTTCAGGACGTACGCTTTGCCCAGTCCTCCTATCTCGGCACTTTTCAGGAAATGCTGCAGGAAGACCAAGGCCACGGCAGCAGCAGCTCACGTTTTGCAAGCCAAGCATTTGATTCCATCTCCCCCACCCCCGCTCCTACCAATAGGGGCAGCTGAGCCCTCAGGCTCTGCCATTGTGATCTCAAATGGTGGCTTCAGAATCTGCCTGCAATTACTCAGCAGGTACAAGCTTTCCTGACCACACACCTGAATCCAACTTCAAACCCAAATCACCAAGGAGGAGACAAGCTGAAAGCCTTTCTGTTCAAGTAACCCACCTTCAGAACAACCCCCACCCTCACGAGCAACATTAATAGATCCTGTCTCCAGCCTCTGCGTTTTTTAGCCAAGAGATCTAAGTGGAACGGGAGCACATCTCAAAGATACATGTGTTCAAAGAATGAAAAAATAGAAAGCAAGAGAGCTCAGAAATGCCCACTTATTTTCAGCAGACATAACAATGCTGTTATTACCTTGCTCCCTCCCAGACTTTAAAGCAATCACTATGCTAAGGTTGGTGAAATCCCTGACAACTCCATGAGGTGAGTACCACTACTGGCCATATTGGCAGGTAAGGAAAAACTGAGTCACACAAGTGGCAGAGCTGGGATTTGAATCTAGGTATTGGCACAATGCTCCTTATTCTAGTTGAAGTCCAGTTGTTAACCCAGGGAATTCATTCAAAAGAACCCCAGGGATTGAACTGTGAACACAGCCAACCCAGAAGAACCCAAGAGCTAGCTAGTATCTTGTAATCCTGTCTGTAATCAAGACCCACCAACTGCTCCGCCTATAAGTCTTTAAGTTTGGGTACTGGGTTTGAACTTGACCTTGCACTTGCTAGGCAGGTACCCTACCACTTGGGCTATGGCCCCAGCCCTTTTTTTTTTTTTTTTTTTTTTTTTTGCTTTAGTTATTTTTCAGATAGGGTCTAGCACTTTTTTGCCCTGGCCAGCTCTGGACCACAATCCTCCTACCTATGCCTCCTGTGTAGCTGAGAAGATCTTTAAGTTCCCACTCACCTCTGAGGGTGGCAAGAAGAGGAAGAAGAGGATAGTCTGGCCAGCTCCCTGAGCCCAAGCCACAGCAGCCCAGATCCTAACTTTATTCCATCTGAAGTCTGGATCTGAAGAGGAAATCTATAATGAAGGTCCGCATCAGCCAGTCAGGGTTCCAAAGCCCAGATGTGGGCAGGAATGCACCTGCCTCCTGCCAAGCAAGAGATGACCTCACCAAAAATCACTCCTCAGCTTCCCCAGCCTTACAACTGCCTCTGAATAAAACTGACCTCATTTTATTGAACACATCTTCAGACCTTGTCTCTGTGCTAAGTATTTTACAGCCTTTAGCACACCTAACTCTCAAGAATCCTACAAAGCATTCATGTTCCCATTTTCCAGATAAGGAAAATGAACCTCAGATAAGTTGAATGAGCTGTCTATGATCTCACAGCTTGGGAGGAGAGACAGCCTCCCAAGACTGAACTTAAGGCAAGCCAACAACAGAAGCTGTATATGTTCAACCACTACACTGTAACCTTTCCCGCTTGGGATTGTTCCAAGTTAGCAAACAAGCCCCTTTCAAGAAACCCAACTCTGCTTAAGACAGCTCTTAAAACCACCTCAAAGAAGTTCCTTTTGGCAAGAAGATAGAAAGCCTCCACAGGGCTGGGGTTGTCTCTGATTTCCAAAGTCCCTTCAGAGTATCAAAAAGTGGTGCCAAAAACTTTCACAGTTTCAGTCCTGCGTTTCCCTGCCTGGCTCGAAACTGCTCAGCAGAGAGAAAGAGAAAAAGTATTTTCCCAGGGAAACACTCAGTTCTGCTTTGAGACCTGGACTTGCCTCCACACGCAGAAGCAGGATCAGCAGCCCATTCATTTACCCTTACAAATTGCCGTGTGAATCCTGGCGCCAGTCTCCCTGCTCTTCCCCCTTCTAGAAACCCCATCCAGCCTCTCAGCTCAGGGAGCCCAGGCATCCGCTGATGTTTACTCACTCAAGTTCATTCGACATCTTCCTGCTCCCAGGCTCCGACGATCGGCAGTGAGGCTCTGCTGACCGGTGGTCTCTAATTCTTGCCTGACATTCCCTGCCCAGGGAAGTGTTTGATTTATGTTGAGGTTTGGTTGTCGGGATTTTGCTGACAGTAGGTTCCCGGCAGCGCTGGCTCTGATTGGCTGCAGGTACAGGTGCCAGCGACTGCAGGTATACCTCAACAGGTGCAGCTGTTAACTCTTGGTCGGCCAGTGGGGGCGGAGTCATGGGGGCCTGACTGGGTGGAGCTGGCCAATTCCTTTCTTGGTGAGGGGGTGGAAGGCGGAGAGCAGGGAGGAGGGAGGAGAAAAAAGTAAAGAATCAAGATAACTAGAGGAAAAACACAGGGATAGATACCTGGCTTAAAGGAAATGCCTGTTTCTAGTTAGTATCTTGGATCCCAGTACCATCCCCCCACTAAATTCCTTTGCCCTCTCCTTCAGTGTGGGGAAAATCTAAAAGGAAAGAGCAGATACTCCTGCTCTGTGTAAGTGGCTCTGTATAAGTTTCATTTCTTTTCTTCAGGACTTTCCCCTTAACATTTATAAGCAGTATTTTACAGTTATTTAAGTGATTTCTTTTGATTCTCAAGGTAACCCACTCTGCTGGACTTACTGTCACCTCCCCCTTCCTTCCCAGCAAATACCCTTTACAGGTGAGAGAAGAAATGGAGGCTGGAGAGGTAAAGTGACTTGCCTAAGGGCACAAGCTAGTGAATGTCAGAGCCCAAATCCAAATCTTCATCTCACTTCAATCTGACTGCCCCTTAAACTGAAGACTGCAGCTCAATTGTTATGTGCAAGGCTCTGCTCTGGGTTCTGGGGAAACTGGAGGCCAAAAACCCTGAGATCCTAGGTAAACTGGAGTGTACTCTGTGTGTCTGTGTGTGTGTGTGTGTGTGTGTGTGTGTGTGAGAGAGCAAGAGAGAGAGAGAGATGGCGTGGGGCAGTAGAGCAGCCTTTTATTTGGTGTGATACTGATCTGAATGGGTTGTGGGCAAACACATGCCTCTGGTCAGCACAGAAAGAATGGAAAAGTTAAGTTGGCCACCTCCAAAGCCTTAGCTGGCTGGCTATTTCTCTGGCTTGGTTCTGCAATGGGCACTCGGGAGAAAGCAGATGCTTGTTAGAGTAATTGTGGAATAATTGCTGTGAGCTGTCTTCTATAAAGAACAAGCTTGGTAAACCCAGAATATCCACAAACACGAGCAGGAGAATACTAGAGTGTTTTAAAGAGCTTCTGCTGGGATTAATTTGAAATTAATTCTAAGCCAAAGATTTTGGGATCTTATTTTTCCCTTCTCTCTTCCTGCCCACCCCCCCCCCTCCAAATCCTTGGCAAATTACCTCTTTGCTTTGTCCTCCTGGGTACCTCACCTTGGCGCACGCCTTTTCCTCTGGGGAAAGGCAGACGAAGTTTCAGCTACTCCTGCCAATTAGATGAGGGTTTTCAGGGTAAAGTCAGAACTCAAAGGAGCCCTCTTGGGGTGGAGTCAGACCTATGGAGAAGGCGTACTGGGTTTGAGAACTGTCAAGAGTTTCTTAGTGGAGGTCATGTAAGAGGGCACCCTAAAGCCACTTCCTTAGAGCAGCCCTCTCCAGTCACCCTTGTTAAAGTAGACATTCAGTCACTGGGTATCACACCACCTTCTTAAATTAGAAATTCAGTCACTGGATTTCACACCATTTTATTTTTGTTCTCTGCAAAGCCTTTAGGACTTTTTGCTATTTTTTTCTCATTAGTTTTCTAACTGCCCTTCCTCTGTAATGTGAATGCCACAAGAGCAAAAACCTTGTGTACTTGTTGAATCTCCAGTGCAAACTACAGTGTATGGCTTCTAGAAAATGCCTGATATACTACAGGTATCTATCAGGTTCTGTGCTAAGACTTTACATGCATTATCTCATTTAATCCTTGTAGCAGCCATGTGAGATAGGCACTTTGGTCATCCCCATTTCAAAGACGAGGAAACAGATAAACAGTGAGTAGGTAAAATACTCAAGCTGTAGTCTAGGGCAGTGGTGGAGCTGGAGTGGGGTTTAATGAGAGCAGCCACTCACTGAGGTTATTGGTGCCGACTGTAACTGCAGAACTCCCTGCAGTCCAAAGGATGGCACACTTCTCTGTGTACCTGTCTCCCCACCTTGTGGAAAGCCGTGGAGTTTCATCAGCTGTGTTGCAATAACAGTGGGGTGACTCATGCTGGCTGAGCTTGGGGGTGGAGGGTAGGGGCTGGGATTCAAATGACATGTCCATGCTCGCTGGGCTTTTTAAAATGGGTCCTCTCCCTCTATGTCTGGGTCCTGCCTCCTTTAATCACCTGTACCTGTCTTTACAGACCCACAGAGGCCCTAGTGAGCCTCTTCTGTTCACAGGAAGGCTCCAGAGGTGCTCTGAGATGGAGGGACTGGTGGTCTTAGATGAGTAGGCAGAGAAACTATGAGCCAGCATGTCACTAGACCCCTCCCGCAGGAGTCATGCCTCCAGTCAAGAGGCAAGGCTGGTCCAGGCCTTTGTTCCCAAAACTCAGACCAAGGTTTTAAAGAGAAACTTCCCAGGCCTTGCTGCTGTCACATCCTTCTCTTGGGTGGCATGAGCATAACCAGTTAAGGCTGGTACCACTTTCTACTGCTTGGATGGCCCAGTTCTGGTTTCTCTCTGTCAAGGAGATTAAAAGTAGAGACCAGCCAATCACATGTGATATAATATATTTCAGAATAATAACAGTGAATAACGATGGCTGTGTGGTTAGTGTTTGTGTTTTGCAAGCCCTTTGCTAAGAGTTAGGTGTGTTACGGGATAGTATTGCTCTAAGATTGACAGAACTTGGTTCAAATCCCAGCCCAGCCACTTACTAGCTCCATGATGTTGGGCAAAAGACTTAAGCTCTGAGCCTCAGTTTCCTCACCTGTAAAATGGATATAAAATCATATCCAGCCCTTCTAAGGTTATTGTGAGTATTACAGATAATGTATGTGAAGTGCATTGTGCAGTACCTGGCACCTTGTGCTCAATTGTTAGGAGACTTTTATCCTCATTTAATTCCCACTTGAACCTACTGAGAAAGACCACAGCTTCATTTTATAAATGAAGACACTGAGACTTGGGTTAAATGATTTGCTCAAAGCCAAAAGCTAATATAAGTGAAAGAACTGAGATTTGAACCCACATCTTTCTCACTTTATGCTTGTAGAACTCAACTAAATTAGGCAGTATCCTGGGTTCTGCCTGACCTCTGGCCACGTACTATGTGACTGAGTAAATCTCTTAGCGTTCCAGTTTCCCTCCCAACATCCAGATTTGTGAATCATTGTACTGGTGAATTTACATATTCAAATCACCTAGGTTTTTCTTTTCCAGAGTACTTCTGTTCTTCCTTCAGACATGATGATCCTTGGAGGATGGCACAGTCCTTCATTCCTCTCCCTCCTCCCTAGGATAATGAGTCACCTGCTCCATGGGCACTACCCATGGCATGTTGGAGGGAGGTGAAATTTAGGACCACTAAGTAAGTAAGCACTGAGGGTCAGGCCTACTATGTATGTCTTCAAGGGTATGTACCAATGTGATGGCCCTGCTGGCAGCCCTTCCTTTTCTGTCACACCAAAACATCATTGTTATCCATAACTCTTAATGAAAATCTGTTGGCCCATCCAAAAATATCGACATGACATATATCCAACAGTGCTTCTCTGTGGATATGAAAATATTCTTCCCTGTCCTCCTCCCCTTTAAATGTTCTGCATTGAACCTGCATTGCTTTCATAATTATTAATTCTATACAAAGCCACAGTTTAAATGTTATTAGATTGGACCAGGAGTATAGCTCATTGATAGAGTTCTTGCCTAAGCCAGGTGCCAGAAGCTCATGCCTATAATCCTGGCTACTCAGGTGGCAGAGATCAGGAGGCTCAAGGTTCAAAGCCAACCCGGGCAAATCGTTCATGAGACCCTCTCAAAAAAAGCTATCACAGAAAAGGGCTGGTGGAGTGGCTTAATGTGTAGGCCCTGAGTTCAAACCCCAATATCACAAAACAAAACAACAAAAAGACAGCCTGTTCTGCATATAGAGCTCTTTTTCCAAGTGTTTGCCTAGGCACAGCCACCCTTGGAGGATGGGTCAAGAATGTACCATTGGCCCCCTATTTGATAGATGAATGGGTTCAGGAAGAAGTACCCCTCATTAGTGAGGGACTGGGATTGGACCCTGGGCTTTTAGATGAAGCCTCATCTTAGACATACCTGTGGATCCCAAAGGGTCCCAGGAAGCTATCCTGGATACACACCTAGAACTCTGTAGGTGTTTCACCATAATTTTCTATCTACCATGTCACTGGACCTAAGTGAAGGGATTAAGGACATGACCCTCTTTGGAAGGCTTGGATGGACCTGGAAGCTGTTCTTCTTGAGAGTCAGGACTTGTAGTGGACAGCTGCCAGGCCTTTTTTACACTCTGTACTTCGGATTCTTATCACAGTTCTGCCAATAGCACCTTCTTCATTCCTTCCTAGCTGTTCCTGGAATATGAGGAATCCCTGAAAGGGTCTAAAGCCACCCTGAAATCACCCTTAAAAAAAAAAAAGGAAGTCTATGAACACCCCGAGAACAAGCATTTACTTTTCCCATTTATCAGGTTGGTAAGGATTAAACACTACCTCCAGTACTGGCAAGGGTAAAGAGAAACAGGCTCTCCCCTTGCCAGGAAGAAAGAGCCAGTCCCAACTTAAACTTTCAGTCTTAGCCCATTCTTTGATCTAGCAATTTCACTGTTGGAATTTAGTCCAAGCAAATAATCTGTGTGCAGAATTAGCTACAAGGACATGTACCAGAGCACTGCTTATAATCAGACAAATTAGAATCAATATAAACCCCCTTCAACAGAGGTTCTCTACCTTTAGTAAATTAGCCTGTTCCTATTTTTAAAGCCTGTTTATAGTAATGGAGAAAGAACAGACAGGGGACATACTCTAGAGATACTCATGGATAAAGGGAGTGGGTGCAATTTATATTTCATTCTTTTTCTCATCTGATGACAATATCTCTTCTGTTTAAAAAAAAAAAAAACTTTACAATTATTAAAAGGTAGCAATCGGAGAAGGCTTCTTGCTGAGCTGGGTAGGAAGCAGTTTAGTGCTATCTAGAGATCCTCTGTGACCTGGAACCAGCCAGAACAGGAGGCAGTCAGAGCGAGGGTAC